TTGCTGGGTGTGGCAGCAGAAGAATGGCCTTCGAGGTGCCCTCGTCCCAACCCTCAGAATCGTGACTATGTTACCTGAGGGGGCAAAGGCGCAGTCCCGGTGCCGGACAGGAGAGTTGTCCTGGGCCGCCCTGGGGACCATGCCCGAGGGAGGCAGACGCGATGCGAGGAGGGGCCAGGGGCCCGGAAGGCTGGGCAGCGCCGGGCTAGAGGGCAGCCGCACACTGTAAGCGTGGCCTCTGCGCTGGGGGTGTCGAGCCCCTCCACAGCCACAGGCCTGCACTCCCGAGGCCAGGCACACACTGGTCTCTGCCACCGTGATCGGAACCGTCTGTGAGAAAACATCTCCTTAGCTTCTCGGAATCCAGAGGCAAACATGAAATAAACACGTGCCGCCTGGCCGGGCGGCTCAGCAGGCTCTGTGTTGGCCCGTCTGGGCTCCCTGCCGGGCACGTGCCCAGCTTTCGGGTTGGGTCCCAGCCAGAGTGTCTGCGGTAGGCAACCGATGTTTCTCCCCCTCTCCCTTCCTCTCACTCTAAAAACAATTAAACATTTTTTAATGTATTGCTCTGCATCAACGACAAGCCCGTCAGTAAAGGCAGGTCTGTGTTGGCGGACGTCCCCTAGGCCGCCGTCGGCCTCGCTGCGGAGCCGGTGGGGCGGGGAGCTCGGCTGTGGGTTCACAGGGCAGAAGCCGCCCTGGGCCTGCGATGCCCACGCAGGAACGGCGGCCCCGAAGCCGTGGGCTCATCCCGGGGCACGGTCTACATGAGCGACTCTGCGCTGACCCTCCAGACACGCCGGCCTGGCCCCGACACACCCCCCTCCACGGCCACAGCTGCAAGGCACGGGCAGTGGCGTCCGCCCAGCATGATGGTTTCGTCCAAATCAGAGGGAAATGGCAGCGGCCGGTCCAGGCTGGCCACCTGGACGGCCATGACCCTCGGACCCTTCCGCCTCCGCACACCAGGCCTTCCCAGCGCCGCCGTGCCCCGGCGGTGAGTCAGCCTGCTGTGGGAACCGTGGGCAGGGATCCTTGGTACCGGCGGCCACGGAGGCCAGCGCCCTCTCCGGTGGGCTCTGGCAGCTCGTGTGGCGCGTGGGGCAGGCCTGGACAAGCCGTGCCGGCACGGACCCACCAGCCGAGCTGCAGCGCCCCCCACAGGCCCTGTGGCCCCTCAGCACACAGCGTCTCCTGTTGGCATTTATGAAAATGTCTCTACTTCGTGACAATGTCTGTGTCCACTGTCCTAGACGCGTCATCAGTTCTACAGGCTTCTCACCTCAGGCGTGTGCACCTGTGGTGCTGACTGTCCGGGAGCCCCTTGCTACACGATCGCAATGCCTGCTTACACACACCTCTGGCCGCGACACGCCTGTGAGTGCCACGTCAGTACCCCACACTTTGGATGACAAGTCGGACGCTTTAAAATATTGACTAGCTGACCAGACACCCCGCTGCAGGTGCGGACTGGACCGCACACCAGGCTCCTGGCCGCTGGCATGCGGCTCTGCCCATCACCCGGATGCTGCTGGGCCTCAGGGTCTCAGCCGCATGGGAGAGCACCCGTCCTGTCTGTGGCCCAGGGCGGCGGGAAGGACAGGTGGCCTGTGTGAGTGCCGTTTGGAACAGACCGAGCAGGAGAAATTAGAAGCACTGTTCTTGCAGAGGCGTTGTGCGGGGTGAGTGCTCAGGAGTTCGTTCAAGCTTCTTTTTTAAAGAATGTGTTTTTGTTGAGATATTAGAGAGCGGGGGAGGGAGAGAGAGAAGCGTCAACGAGAGAAAACATGGATTGGTACTTCGCATGCCCCCTATAAGGGATCGAGCTTAACCCAGGTCCATGCCCTTGGCCAAGAACTGAACCTTTGACCCCGTGGTACTCGAGACGACACTAGCCACTGAGCCACACCTGCCAGGCTCAAGTCCCTTCTTGATAGGTGTCTTCCTCTTCCCGCTTGGCAAAGCTGATGCCTGCAGCCTCCGTCAAGCTCCTGGGTGGCGTTGGCTGATAGCACTGTGTCTCTCAGAGCCCGATTTCACCCAGGCCTGCCTCTCACAGATGCTGAAAGGAGCTCACCCCGAAACCCAGGCGCAGGGCACACTGCGAGGCGACCTGTGCCGGTGGAAGGAGGGAGCGGGCATCACCCTGAAATGGGACAGGATGGCCATGGGGGTAACGGGACAGGATGGCCACGGGGGTAAGGGGACGGGATGGCCACGGGGGTAACGGGACGGGATGGCCACGGGGGTAAGGGGACGGGATGGCCACGGGGGTAAGGGGACGGGATGGCCACGGGGGTAAGGGGACGGGATGGCCACGGGGGTAACGGGACGGGATGGCCACGGGGGTAAGGGGACGGGATGGCCACGGGGGTAACGGGACGGGATGGCCACGCGGGTAACAGGAGGGGATGGCCACGGGAGTAAGGGGACGGGATGGCCACGGGGGTAAGGGGACGGGATGGCCACGGGGGTAACGGGACGGGATGGCCACGGGGGTAAGGGGACGGGATGGCCACGGGGGTAACGGGACGGGATGGCCACGGGGGTAAGGGGACGGGATGGCCACGGGGGTAAGGGGACGGGATGGCCACGGGGGTAACGGGACGGGATGGCCACGGGGGTAACGGGACGGGATGGCCACGGGGGTAACAGGAGGGGATGGCCACCCACGGGGGTGAACGCGTTCTAAGACGACAGTCGTGCTGTGGCTCCTGTTGGAGGCAGCCTTGGTCACGGCCGTGTCCCGGTTCCATAGCGTTGGAGGGAGACCTTGGAGAAATTGCCCAGCGGCCCGGCGCTCTGGCCACACCTTCCTGCTCCGGTTGGCCGTGGGCTGTGTGCTCCTGGCGCAGGTGTGAGAGCGTGAAGGCACGGGATCCAGCCTGCGGAGCCCAGGCCAGAGGGGTGATGAGCCACTGCCCCTCAGCTCACCACCCGCCAGGCCGCCCTCCGCCCCATCACAGAGGACAAGGGTGCCGAGTCAGAGCCCGATGTCATCATGCTGGCTCCAGGGACATCGCCTCAAAAATGATGGCTGGTGTGGCTCAGTGGTTAGCCCCCCCCCAACCCCCACACAGAACCCCCGTACTGAAGGCTCTCAGGTTCCATTCCGGTCAAGGGCACATACCAGGGTTTCAGGTTCACTCCTGCCCCTCTTCAGGGCACAAGCTGGAGACAACCAGTCAATGTCTCTCACATCGATGTTTCTCTCACACATCAATGTTGCTCTCTCTCCCCCTCCCTCCCTGAAAAGCAATGGAGAAAAGTGCCCTCACATGAAGATAAAAACCAGCAACAGCACAGTGAGCGGGAAGAGTGAGCCACGCAGACTCGCCAGTTGAGCGAAAGCTCTCCCACCGCCTCGGGGCCGCCGCGCTGGCCCTGGCCTCGCCACTCTGCAGGCACCAGGCGTTTCAAAAGCAGGTTCGGGGGCCTAATGCCAGAAACTGAACAAGCCCCTGCTACCTCACAGAGCCCGGCTGTGACAGGCAGGCCTGGAACTCTGACATTTTAAAGCCTCCGGGGGTCTCCCAGGAGACCCCTGAGCCCCCGAAGCAGCTAGCACTCTGCACAGGCCGGGACCGCAGGCCAGGATGGCAGGCGGGGCCAAAGGCCGGGACCCCAGGCCGGGACCCCAGGCCGGGACCCCAGGCCAGGATGGCAGGCCGGGGCCAAAGGCCGGGATCCCAGGCCGGGACCGCAGGCCCTGCTACAAAGGGTGCCTGTTTCTGAGCCGCCTTCCCATCTCAGGCCGGTGTGTCCACTTGACCTTAACTTTGGAGGTCGTGTTTACAACACAGCAGGGTGTCAAGAGTTGCCCAATTTTTCTGGTGAACATTATTTCCATTTCCTGCCCGTTGTCATTCTCTCTGGAATGAATGTGTGCGAGGGCCCGAAGCACTGCGCCGAGGGGGTGGCGTCATTACCGTGTGTTGGCAGAGCACGCGACACCTCTGCACTCGCCGCTCGGGGCTGTCCCCGCTCCAGGCGTCCCGATCCGTCCTGCCTCACCATCCTAATGAGAGCAGCAGGGCGGCCTCCAGGCCAACAGACCCCCTTCCCGAGGTCGGGCAGTTCCAGGCCCCAGCGTCTCAAGCTCCAGAGCTATTACAGAAACTCAGTGACATCCCAGGGATGGGAGCTCAGACCACAGCCGCGGCCCGCAGTGGGCCGCTCAGGCCACAGGCTGCTTCCTGCGCCGGCGTCGTCTCGGGAGGGCGGGCGCTCGGCCGCCAGCTGGGCAGAAGGCTGCAGCTCGCGTGCCATCGTGCCCTCGCGCCAGTGACTCCGCTCCAGTGCACCTGCGGGAGGGACAGCCTGCTGGCTGCGGAGCCCGGGGCGCCGGAAGGAGAAGGGGGACCCAGTGACCCACTGCTCCCGGCGGCCCTGCTCCTGCCCCGCAGGTCTCCTTTGGAAAGCTCCTGGGAAGGGCCAAGAGGGCCTCACTGTGCACAGCAGTGACGCACTGGCGAGGTCACAGGCCTGCACCACAGCTCTGGATCCAGCCGGATGACAGCGCTTTGTCTGTTTCCGGTGTTTGTGTCAGGGAGGCCCCTGCACACTCTGCCCGGTTCCTGCTGGATCCGCATTTCCCTTCCCTCTTAGTCACCTTTTAAAACGAAGTTGCTGTCACCTCAGGATTTGGCTGCTTGTAGACGACAAAGCTTGAGCTTCCTCTGCATGTCAATACTGACTCGCTCTGTTGCCAAACATGTTTAAAGGTAAACTCTATGTAAATGGCGCAGATAACCATGGTGTGGGAACTTTACATAAAAACAAGTCTCTCCAGGTTGTACCAAGTGGGACACAGTGTCAGGTCCTCCTCCACGGACGGTGAGGGGAGTGAGGGGGAGCAGGGGCGGGTCACTCTGAGCTCCGGGGAAGGGCTGAGCACTCGGGGGGAGCCGCCTGCAGGCAGCCACCGGGCACATGGGCACCACCGGTGCACTTCCGGCCGTGTGGGCAGCACAGACCTGACTCTGCTCTGGCCTTTGCAGACGACCACTCCCGGGTCCTGTTGAAGCCGGAAAACAGCCACAGCAACTCGGACTACATCAACGCCAGCCCCATCGTAAGTACCGTCCCCCGAGGCCGCCAGCCTTTCCCAGGGCGCATGTGGGCGAGCCACGTGAGGATGGCAGGGAAACATGCTGCCTGCTCCAGCGGAGAGCTGAGAATTAGCCTCAGCTGGGTAACCAGCCTCAAACAGGAACAGCCTTATCAGATAACTGGTCTCTACAGGCAACCAATCTTAGCCAGGTAACTAGTTTCAACCGGGAACTAGTTTCAACCGGTTAGCTTTAACCAGATAACTAGTCTCTACTAGGTTACTAGCCTCAACCAGGAACCAGCCTTAACTAGTTAACTAGTCTCAACTGGGTTCTTAGTCCCAACAAGTAACTAGCCCTAACCAGGTAACTAGTCTCAGCCAGGTTATTAGTCTCAACGAAGTAACCAGCTTCCCCACTGATCCACGTCTGTGTCCTGGGTAGGGGTCGGTGACCAGCCTGAAGGTTTGTCCTTTCCTAGGCCCGCTGGTGCCCGCTGCGCTCGGGGAACGGGGAATCGGCCGCGCCTGGCACCTGGGTGTCTGGAGGGTGCGGGGAAGGGGTCTGTCACCCTGTGACTCCTCACTGCCGGGTCCCCGCGGCCAGCCCACCGTCTCAGCTCCTGGGCAGGGAGGACGGGGCGGGGTCTGCCGCCATGGGGAGGGGGCTGAGTGCCTGCATGGCACTTAAACTGGCAGCAGGGAAAGGATTGGTGTGGGTTTATGAGGGCGAGAAGCTGAGATCGCCTCGATTTGGATGCGTTTCTCCAGCTCGGTCTTAAGGGAGGCGTCTCCCCGAAATCTTGATTTGCATCCAGTCAAGGACTGTGTGGATGCCACACTGGCTGTTATTCCAAGGCTGGTGAAAGGCCCCCGTGCGCTGGCAGCCCCCTGGCTCCCCAGCGGTGAGCTGTCCGTGACAGCATCGCCATGTGACTTCAAGCGGCCGCTGCTGACGGTGGGCCACGTGGCCAATTAGCTGGTCCCACCCATTCCATAGGGCCACGTGCCTGAGCCACATCGGCTTCCCGACACTTCTCACCGCCCGTCCTGGCAGCGCAGGGAGACGGCGGTGTGCCGGCCCAGCCGCCCTGGCCTCTGGCCTCTGGGCCTCGGCCCCTGGTTCCCAGGGTCTCCTGCAGCCACAGTCTTCTCGAGCACGTTGCCCTGGGCTTGGATTGTCTTGTTGGTTCTAATTCAAACCATCAAGGCGAAGCCGCGCTGGTGGCCGCCCGCCCCACTGGGAGAGGTGCTGCGAGAGGTGCTGTGTCCGGGGAGGGGGTCCGTGCTATCTGGCCCCGGCCTGCTCAACGGACGTGGCTCTGACCCCAGACCCCTGGAACCAGGAGGGTCACGTCCCTCTGTGGCTCCTGGTCCCCGGAGGATCCACGGGAGAACTAAAGGGTCGTCTCAGGTCCGAAAGGCCCTGTGTGGGTTCCCAGGCAGGCGGCCCGGCTGCTGAAGTGGAAGCAGCACCCTGCAGTCAGAGGTGGCAGGAGAGGGTGGTGCTCCCTCCTCTATCCGATGCCACACCTTCCTACGCCTGGAGCTGAGGTGGCCTGGAACCAGGGGCGGCCCCCCTGAGGCAGCGGAGGCTGGCAGCTGCGTCCAGCGGCTGGGTGAGCAGGCCGTTGGGGCTGGAGCCTGGCTGCGCGGGAGGGACGGCCATCCTCTCCGGGTTGTGCTCAGCTGCGAAAACTCCGCACCACCCTGGTCAACAGTGGGCGGCCTTTGCTTTTAAATCGAAGGCCTGCTTCCCCGCACGGCGTCCGGCGTGAGGGCCCTCAGGGGGCAGGCACTGGGAAGCTGAGCACCCTCAGCACCTGGCACGTTTGTCAAACTGCACATTTCCCGCAGGGACAGGCTGACGTCTGCATCAGCAGTCAGGACCCCCTCTTCGTTCTGCAGTTTATTAAAGGCGGAAATGTTTAAGGTTTTAGTCCAGTGTCCCTGGATGGGTAGGATCAACCTCATTACAATGTCCATACTCAAGACACTCTACTGATTCAATGCCATCCCTATTAAAATACCAATGGCACATTGCACAGATCTAGGACAAATATTATACTCTAAAAATTTATATGGACCCGAGGCGGGACACACGTCTGCCACGCTGAGCTCACGGGCCACTGGAGTGCTTCTCGGAGAAGGTGTCAGCGGGGACGTGCCTGCCTCCTTGCATCACACTTGTCCCGCCGTGGAGACCAGGCAGAATGAGGCTTCGTCCCTGGCATTGTCTGTGCACTTTCATCACTGAGGATGCCCACCCCACCCCACACTCAGGCGCTGGCTGCTCTCAGTGAGTGCTCCTGCCAGGCGTCAACTGCCCCCCAGAGGGTGCTGGCACCACCACCAGGGCTGTCTTTTGTTGCTCGGTGGAGAACTCACTTCCCCTCTGAGCCCTCTAGGCTCTTCACTGCCTTCTGCGTGGCAGCCACGCGACGGCCACGCGGCAGTGAGAGTCCCGCCTCTGTGGTCGTGGGGACAGTAACTGAGACGCCGCAACTGAGACCTGTGACTAAGGTGGCCTTATTTGCTCTCCTGAAACCAGTCAGATTTTCACTGCTAATCACGTTGCTCATTTTGAAAGCAACTGAATGCTACTTCGAACACAGTAACAATTCAAAACCAGGCTGCTCTCTCCACTGCTCTAGGCAGGAGGGGGCTGTGTCACCCCAAGACGTGTACCTCGAAAATCAGAACTCCTGGTCCCTGCTCGGTGTTTTCCTGCAGAAACGTCTTCACCGGGGCTTTCAGCGAGAGGACAGATTGCACCTGCGCTGTGTGTGCTGACTCTCAGAGTGAGGTCCACCTTCATTCTGAATCCCTAAATCAGGGCACAACCAGTGCCTTCCTACCTGCCGCCCGCCACCCCTGCTGGCTCGGACTGCGTCCCTGGAGGGACCTCCCTCTGCCCTTGTGCTGCAGGGACTATGAGGTGGGGGTTGGGAGCGTCCATAGCGCCAGGCCTCAGCTCTGCAGTGCGACAGCAACGCCACGTCTCCCCGGCCTGGCAGACGCACCGCAGGGTGCTAGGTGATGCCGGTGGCGGCCTGTGTCACAGGTGCCGTCTGGAATCGTGTGTGGTTGAAACTCGCTGCTCCCTGGATCGGGAGCTGTGTGTGTAACTGGAGCAGCTGAGGTTACCTCTCATTGACCTGTAGAGAGTGGATGAGAGGGGAGAGACAGAGAGAGAGACATCGATGTGAGAGAGAGACATCAATTGATGCCTCTACTCACACTCCCTGATGGGGGAAAAAATGGGAGCGAGCCTGCAACCCAGGTATGTGCCCATGACCAGAATCGAACCCAGGGCCCTCAGTCAACGCTCTCTCCACTCAGCCAAACCGGCGAGGGCTGTCCTCACCGCGGGTGCCACTCCCGTCCCCTGCGCAGCCGCTCTCGCTAATCGCTGTGCGTGTCTTGCAGATGGACCACGACCCCAGGAGCCCCGCATACATTGCCACCCAAGGACCGCTGCCTGCCACCGTGGCCGACTTCTGGCAGGTGATGCTCTTGGTTCCATTCTTTTTCTGAAAGTCAACTCCTACTGGTTGTGAATTGAGCCTTGGGTTCATTAAGCCAATCAAACTTGTTTGCAGCGTTTGTCAGATGTTACATGATTTCAGAATTTATTGGGGGCCTTTAAGATATATATTTTTTGTAATCCTCAACTAGGACATTTTTTCCATTGATTTTTTTTAGAGAAGAGTGGAAGGGAGGGAGGGAGGGAGGGAGAGAGGAAACATCCGTGTGAGAACGACAACATGACTGGTTGCCTCCCGCATGTGCCCAGACCAGGGCCAGGACTGAGTCTGCAGCTCTTCCATCTGCGGCAGGCGCTAACCACTGCTCCACCGGCCAGGTGCCTTTAACGTGTTTATGATCAATCAGGTTTTCAAAACTGAGTCTGAAAAAAAATCCCTTCAAGAGATTTAATGCTTTAAATACACTTTTAAAAGCCACTTTACAATTTCACTTTTTGAAATGAAATTAATCAGTACTTTATTTTATTAAAAGGTCTCTTATCTATTGTTTAATCTTATAAAGATAAAGATGGAGCTCAAATGATAGTTTCTCTTTGTGGATTTTCTATAATGCGTTTTGGATTTTTCAATTGATTTTAGAAAGAGAGAGAAACGGATTTGTTGCTCCTGATGCGCTTACTGGTGCATTCGCTGGTGCTCAGCTTCCCTCTGAGTCCGCGGAGCGGGCCGCTGCGGGAGCAGGAGGGGGTTCTCAGGCACAGAGCTGCCCTGTGCACGGCCGTGCAGAACCTGAGGCTGGCTCCGCGAGCGAGCGCGCGCCGGAGCCTCACGGCCTTCCTCCGCAGATGGTGTGGGAGAGCGGCTGTGCGGTCCTCGTCATGCTGGCCCCGCTGGCGGAGAACGGCGTCCGGCAGTGCTACCACTACTGGCCCGCCGAGGGCTCCAACCTCTACCACATCTACGAGGTACCGCCCCCCAGCCGCACCCTCCGCCAGGTCCCCACGGGCCCCTGGTCATGACACCCAGGCCTCCACAGCCTGTGCCCGGACTGGACTGGGACTGGACGGGACTGGACTGGGACTGGGATTGGCCTGGGTCTGGGCTGGGACTGGACTGGGACTAGGACTGGACTGGAACTGGACTGAACTGGGATTGGCCCCTGGGACTAGGACTGGACTGGAACTGGGACTGGACTGGGACTGGGACTGGGACTGGACTGGGACTGGACTGGACTAGGATTGGCCCTGGGACTAGGACTGGACTGGAACTGGGACTGGACTGGGACTGGGACTGGGACTGGACTGGGACTGGGACTAGACTGGGACTGGAACTGGGATTGGACTGGACTGGACTGGGACTGGGATGGGACTGGACTGGGACTGAGACTGGAACTGGGACTGGGACTGGACTGGACTGGGACTGGACTGCACTGGACTGGGACTGGGACTGGACTGGGACTGGACTGGACTGGGACTGGGACTGGACTGGGACGGGACTGGGCTGGGACTGGGACTGGACTGGACTGGGACTAGACTGGAACTGGGACTGAACTGGATTGGGACTGGACTGGACTGGGACTGGGACTGGGACTGGACTGGGACTGGACTGAGACGGGACTGGGCTGGGACTGGGACTAGACTGGAACTGGGACTGAACTGGACTGGGACTGGACTGGACTGGGACTGGGACTGGACTGGGACTGGACTGGACTGGGCTGGGACTGGGACTGGACTGGACTGGGATGGGATGGGACTGGACTGGAACTGGGATGGGACTGGACTGGGACTGGGACTGGGACTGGGACTAGACTGGGACTGGGACTGGACTGGACTGGAACGGGACTCGACTGGGACTGGACTGGACTGGGACTAGACTGGGACTGGACTGGACTGGGACTGGACTGGACTGGACTGGGACTGGACTGGGACTGGGACTGGACTGGGACTGGACTGGGCTGGGACTGGGACTGGACTGAGACGGGACTGGGCTGGGACTGGGACTGGACTGGACTGGGATGGGATGGGACTGGACTGGAACTGGGATGGGACTGGACTGGGACTGGGACTGGGACTGGGACTAGACTGGGACTGGTACTGGACTGGACTGGGACTGGACTGGACTGGACTGGGACTGGACTGGACTGGGACTGGACTGGACTGGACTGGACTGGGACGGGACTGGGCTGGGACTGGGACTGGACTGCTACTGGGACTGGGCTGGGACTGGGACTGGACTGCTACTGGGACTGGACTGGGACGGGACTGGGCTGGGACTGGGACTGGACTGGGACTGGGACTGGGACTGGACTGGGACTGGACTGGGACTGGGACTGGACTGGGACTGGGACTGGGACTGGACTGGACTGGGACTGGACTGGAACTGGGACTGGACTGGACTGGGACTGGACTGGACTGGACTGGACTGCTACTGGGACTGGACTGGGACGGGACTGGGCTGGGACTGGGACTGGCCTGGACTGGGACTGGACTGGGACTGGGACTGGAACTGGACTGGGACTGGACTGGACTGGGACTGGAACGGGACTGGACTGGGACTGGACTGGACTGGCACTGGGACTGGGACTGGAGTGGACTGGGACTGGGACTGGAACTGGACTGGGACTGGGACTGGAACTGGACTGGGACTAGGACTGGGACTGGAGTGGACTGGGACTGGGACTGGAACTGGACTGGACTGGGACTGGGACTGGACTGGGACTGGACTGGGCTGGGACTGGGACTGGACTGAGACTGGACTGGACTGGGACTGGACTGGACTGGGACTGGACTGGGACTGGACTGGACTGGGACTGGACTGGGACTGGACTGGACTGGGACTAGACTGGGACGGGACTGGACTGGGACTGGACTGGGACTGGGACTGGGCTGGGCTGGGACGGGACCCGAGGTGAGTGACTCGGTTCTCACGGTGGATTCTAAGTCAGACAGAGGACGAGGCGGCCTCGGGGTGCTGAGCGCAGCCCGTGCGGGCGAGGCTGGCGTCGGCGTCTAGACAGACGTGCCCGGCTCTCCTTGCCCGGCCCCGCACGGGCCCCGGCCCTGCCGGCCTTTCTGCTCCGGGGGACATGCGGCCAGCACTTCGCTGCCGGCAGGAGCCGTGCCGGGCCGGGCGCCCCCGCTCCGCCTGCATTGGCGGAGTGCTCGGCGGGGCCACGCGGAAGCAGAGGAGCCTGGCCTGCCTCGTGGCTCCGGTCACCGAGGCGTCAGCCCTCCCAGGTCCGCGAGGCCACCTGCGCCGGCGGGCTCGTGCGGACCCCGGCCTCTCTGCCCCAACGGGGATTTTCCCAGAAGGCTGTGTGACTTAGAAATACAGAAGACAAGGCCCGGGATGGTTTGGATTCTAACACATTTTTCTAGTTATTTGAGCATTATGCCCTCGATGGCATCAAACACCAGCACCCAGTTACCGTTGGTGCCAGCCAGGGCGGCATTGAGAGGGCGGCCGCCCCCGCGCCCGCCGGCGCCGGCTCCGTGTCACCGGCGGCTGTCCCCGCCCGCAGGTGAACCTGGTCTCTGAGCACATCTGGTGTGAGGACTTCCTCGTGAGGAGCTTCTACCTGAAGAACCTGCAGACCAACGAGACGCGCACGGTGACGCAGTTCCACTTCCTGGGCTGGTATGACCAGGGCGTGCCGGCCTCCACGCGGTCCCTCCTGGACTTCCGCAGGTAGGACCCCAGGCCGCGCAGGGTGGCGCTCCGCCCGCGCCCCTCGGCGGCGTGCACAGATCAGAAGCACGCTTTATGTAGGGGGACGGCAGCGGAGGGGTTCCGTTAAGTCTCTGTTAATTACAAGAGGCTTTCACGCCCAGAGGTGTGAATCGTGAGGGGGGACTTGGTATCTTAGAATTGTAGGGAAAAAATGTTTTTTCTTTGTTTTAAGGTTTTTTTAGAATTTTATTTAATCTTTTTATTGATTTCAGGAAGGGAGAGGGAGAGAGAAACGTCAGTGATGAGAGAGAATCATTGATCGGCTGCCTCCTGCACGCCCTGCTGGGGATTGAGCTCGCAGCCCGGCCTGTGCCCTGCCTGGAATCAACCCTGACCTGAGCCACGCGGCCAGCGTGGTTTTAAATTACAGCTGGCGCTCAGCACTCATTCCGCTGGTTCATGTGGACGGCATCGTAGTTCGCAAAGCGACCCTCGGATGTCTGGCGCCCCGCCAGTGCAGTCACTGGCATCGTCAGCCCTGCCCCGGCACCCTCATGCCCTCCTCCACACACTGGAGGCTGGAGTCTCCACCTCACAGGCTCTCAGTGCATAAACCCGGCCTCTTAGTGTGGACACTTGTCTGGTTAGATTTCATGGCTTACCAAGCAAGCGTGGGCCCGGATTCTGAAATGGGTCACAGTGGCGGGGTGCCGTGGCGGGGTGCCGTGGCAGGAGGCCGTGGCAGGAGGCCGTGGCAGGGTGCCCTGGTGGGTGCCATGGCGGAAGGCTGTGGCGGGGTGCCATGGCAGGAGGCCGTGGCAGGAGGCTGTGGCGGGGTGCCGTGGCAGGAGGCCGTGGCAGGAGGCTGTGGCAGGAGGCCGTGGCAGGGTGCCCTGTGGGTGCCATGGCGGAAGGCTGTGGCGGGGTGCCATGGCAGGAGGCCGTGGCAGGAGGCTGTGGCGGGGTGCCGTGGCAGGAGGCCGTGGCAGGAGGCTGTGGCAGGAGGCCGTGGCAGGAGGCTGTGGCGGGGTGCCCTGGTGGGTGCCGTGGCGGGAGGCTGTGGCGGGGTGCCCTGGTGGGGTGATGTGGCGGGGTGCCATGGCAAGAGGCCTGGGCACAGTTCGCACACAACTGCACAGTCTGTGAACGTGCTTTAACTGAACCGCTGGAGGAATGTGAGGTCCCCTCCCTCCGGCGGGAAGATGTCGACATGCAAAAAAAAAAAAGAGCAAAACTTAAGACAAAGGTTCCTGTGCCTCCAATCTGATGACAAGAATAGGTGAGCGTTAGCTGTTAAGAGCTCGCGGGGAGTACAGAACCGCAGCCGCCCAGCCCTGGCCCTGCCTCGTCAGGAAGTCCAATCACCCACCGGGAAGAGGGTGAGGCCGGTTCGCCCGGCCCCGCCAGCTTCCAGCCTCGGCCGCACCGATTCCCTGATTCGTGCATTAGCAGATCCTTAGGTTCTGAGGTGACGATGTCCCTCGCCTTTTAGTCTACTTTGGAACAATAAATTCTTCCTGTGACTAGCTCTTGGACCCTGTAGCATGTGGAGCTGGAGGCGAGATGTGCATTTCCTCGCAAGCGTGGCCACGGGCACCCAGCGACCGCCCCGGCCCCTCCCGAGGGGGCAGGACACTGGGAGCCCCAACGTACCTCGGTGGCCACCAGCCTCCTCCCCAGCCATCACTGCATCCTCTTCATGTGGACTCATGTCTAAGACAGGCGGTCCAGATCCCCCCGGGGTCTGCAGACAGTGGGCCACCCTGACATGTGGTGCGGCTGCAGAGGGGAGTCCACCCTCACCACCTGTGTGCCCGTCGTGTGTGTTCATATGTGCATATGGCCTATTTCTGTATCCGTGTCCACATATGGAATTACCACACAGCCCACCGTCTGCACTTCTCTGTCAGGAAGAAAGACTGAAAGACTGGACTCTCCAAAGTCCTCTCTGGTGCTGTCACCCAGCCCAGCGGGAGTTTGTCGCGTGGAAGGGAGCGCACACCCATGCTCAGCTGGAAGCCTCGTTAGAACGGAGAGCTGCCGCTGGCCTCGCTGTCCGCACCCAGGCTGCGGGGTCGGCATCCACAGGCACCAGACGGTCGGTGTGACCAAGTGCACCCACAAGGCACTGGCCGCACGCCATGGCGGTGGGTGACTGTGCAGATCAGTGAGCAGCACCCACATCCCAGGCTCGGAAGGCACTGGAGGCTCCGTCCACCCCACACAGCAAGGTGGCCCTTCCCGGGAGCGCAGGCGGCTCAGGCAGTGCGCCAGGCAGGCCGCGAGGTGTCACTAAGTAACCAAGCCCGAGGGCACACTGCACCTTACGGGACGCTGCTCAGCCCGAGGTCAGGGGGTCACGGGCGAGGGTTTTGCTCTGACACCGCTCCCTCTCTCTGAGCCACTCGCTCCTCCCTCCGGTGCGTGCCCCCTCCCGCTGCTCGCTGTAGACGGGACAAACCCTTACTTTGCCAGCTAATTAGCGGTGGCCGGTGTCATTTTTGTGACGTTGCAGCTAGTAATATGAGCCCAGTTGCATAGTCACAAAAGTGATCATTGGAAACTGTGACTTTACTGCAGGGGACACTGTGCGGACCCCTTTCTGAGCCTCTAACGACCGCTGACCTTGCTTGCTGTTCCTTGCCGCTCAGGGACGAGGGTTGGTTTGTTTCGCTAACCCTTCCTCCAAGAAGCCCTCTTGGTCTCCATGTGCGGCCTCGCTCACTGACGCTGAGCTCTGATGGCGTAAAAGGGCGGCTCACGGGGCTCGGCGTAGCGGGTAATCTGCTTTGTCTTGAGTCGACCAGATGCACGCTTCGGTTGACTGTGTGACACAGTTGCTCTGCCGTTGTGGTGTTTCACTTCACAATGAACCAAGCACCTGATTCTTTGTCGATAAAATTCCTCGCTGTGGCAGCTCCTTACACTTGCACTGGCGTCTCCCGGCCCTTTGTCGTTAAATTCACAGCGAAGCCTTCCCAGGTACCGCTGAGGGGCAGTGCCTCGGGCTTATCTGAGGGAAGACGGGAACGCGCACTGAGCCCTGGTGGCCGGCAGGTTTTCTGGCTGCGTTTGCCAATGTGCTGTCCAGCCATAAAGGGTGCTGTGCCGGCGACACCCCACACCCACGTCTTCTGAAACCCCCGTGTAAGGAAGGACATTTGGTTATGTTTATTTTTTTTTCAGTGTCCATGTTTTGTGCTTGGGCCCAACAGAAAAAATGACCAAAGCCTGTGACTGAGCAGTGCGTGGCCGCGGGAAGCTGAGTGTAGTTCTTACCGATGAGCCTGGCTCTGAGCAGGAGGAGGGCAGAGGGAACAGCCAGACAGACATTTCCAGTAAAACCTTCTGCTTGAACATTAGAGACCTGTAGAAACAGTGCCGTCCCAACTGTGCCCGACCCTTGAGCTTGCTTGATTCTGCACACGCACACAGGCACAGTGCATGCAGACACATGTACAAACACAACACATGCACAAACATAAACATGCACAAACGCACATGAGCATGGTGGGCAAACATGCACACATGAATGAATACATGTGTAGACACATGCACATGTGCTGTGTGTAGATGTGTGTGTGAACACGTGTGTATAACGTGGGCACGCCCATTTGCAAACACACACGGATGGACACACATGCTTGTATACAGGCACAAACACACGTGCTCACACTTGGTACAAGGTCTGGCATCGGTTGCTAGCGGTGACGCTCACGTTGCTTTGCCTCTGGAGTGAAGAACGGGAGGCTCAGGAGAATGAGAATCCCCTTTTCAACCTCTTTACGCTCAAAGGCCAAGACCCTACGGCATCCGGCTCCCGAGGGCTGCGATTTTAACGCATTCACCTGACTTCCCCCGCCCCCCGAGGTAATGCTGCGATGTGCACCCAACGCAAGGAAGATTCCGGCAGAAAAGGAGCTGTGGCCCTGGAACACGGCTTCGTGTTGACCTGCGCTTCTGAGGCTCCTCATTGCTAGGCCACCTCTGGGGGGCCTGCAGCTTCCAACAGTGTGTTCAGAGGCGGCAGCAAGTCCCACGCTGCACAGAGCGGCGTGTGGCCTCTGCCTCTGTGCGCTCAGGCTGTCAGCCCCCTGAGGAGTGACCCGTCTGTTCACCCCGTAGAGGAGGCAGGAAACAGCACGATCCGCCACTGACCGGCTCACCGCCGTCCCCTGCCATCCTCTGGGGTTGTTGGGTTTGGCAGCCAGTTGATTGAAACTTTTATTGATTTTTAGGGAGCGAGGAAGGGAGAGGGGGAGAGAGAGATCATGTGATGTGGAAGAGAACCATTGATTGGCTGCCTTCTGTACGTCCCCTGGTTGGGATCAGACCCACAACCCGGGCATGTGCTCTGGCCGGGGATCAAACCGGCCACCTTCCGTGCAGGGACGGCCCGTCACCTGAGCCAGCGAGCACAGAAGCGAATACTCCCCGGTTTGGGGACGAGGGACAAGACTGGCCTGCTGTTCTCGCCCGCCTGTGCCTCTGGTCCCTGCGGCACAACTTCCACACCCGCCTCCACGCTCCTTCCAGCACTCAGCCCGCCTCTTCTCCCCGCACAGCCGCCCACAGAGCGCCCTCATGCCCTTCGAACAGGCTGGCCTGTCTCACTGCCTTAAGCCATTTTGGAGTTTGTTCAGTGAATTTCAGATGATCCTCTGTCTTGATGTAGTTATAAAATCTTAATCTATGCTTATTGCTGATTTTCATAAATTCTGACTTAAAATCTGCACAGTGAAGTTGTTTCCAAACATCCCCAAGTTTGTGGAAACGGGAGACTCGTCTCGACTGCAGTTGCGGTTTCTCCGTCTTCAGACGCCCTTTCAGAGCCTTTCACAGGGTCCCTGCAAGCCGCGTCGGAAGACACAATACGTGTCCACTCCTGTATGGTGTCCAGATGCGGGGGATTTTGAGCAGACCTTACAGAACTCAACGTTCAGGCAGGAGTCTAATACGCATCAGTATTAGAGGGTGAGGTTAGCTGAGGGGCGGGAGGACGGGGCCGGAGCGCGCTGCTGCCGCGACCTGAGGCCTTGAGCTCAGGCTGTAAAGGGAAAAGGAACATGGGAACGTGCAAGGACTATTTCCACAGCTCTGCTTATAACTGAACATTGGAAAGAAAAAGAAGCCTTTGAAAGCGTGTGTGTAATTTCGATTTCTTTGTCAAAACAGGCTCCGCAGACGGATGTCCACTGCGCCGTTCGCTCTGGTCCGGTGGTGGCTGGCTAGCACAGCGGAGCCGTCGCCGTGCGAGACCGTAATTCCTGTCTCTTTTCGTTTCAGAAAAGTAAACAAGTGCTACAAAGGCCGCTCTTGTCCAATAATTGTTCACTGCAGGCAAGTACAACCTTTCGCGTGGGTTACCATGTCTGCTCCTCCCCAGCCACCTGCAAAGGCAGGGTGAGCTTTCTGGTGGCTCCAGGCACGGCCACCGGACAGGTCACGAGACCAGAGAGAGGCACCGCCCTAGCTCCGTGCCCTCAGCTCCGTGCCGTGTGCGCCACGCCCAGCGAGCCGCTGTGCTGGGCACTAGTCTGTCCCCCGTGGAGCCATCGCATGGCATGGGGCAGCGTTCCAATCGGTCACTGTCTTGGCCGAGCTGGAACCTGGTGCAGACGGGAGGGCACCGGCAGCTGTGAGCAGGACAGGACCTGTAATGGCACAGGAGTGGCCGCTGCGGCTCCCAGCGTGAGCCCGCCTTTGGGTGGAAATTCTGGCTCGGGCCCTGCTGCAGGCCATGCCCCCGTGAGAGCCGGGAGGCTGCGGCCGCTGCCGGCGGGAGCCACGCCACTTCCTGGCAGTGTCCTTGGAGGTGCCTTTCCGCCTGGAGATGGTCTCAGCATCAGACACACGCCTGTCAGGAACTGTGTGCATGTGTGTGTGCATGGTCCGTGATGTATGTGTCTACTTCTGTGCATGCCTGTGTCTCTGTGTGTGTGTCTATGTGTCTGTCTGTGAATATATGTCTGTGTGTCTGTATAACTGTGTGTCTGTGTGTGTCTGAGTGTGTCTGTGTGTATATGTCTGTTGTCTGTATAATTGTGTGTCTGTGTCTGTGTGTGTCTATGAGTGTCTATGTGTGTCTTGTATCTGTGTGTCTGTGTATATCTTGTGTCTGTGTGTGTCTGTGTGTGTCTGTGAGTGTCTGTGTCTGTGTCTTTATGTGTGTTTCTGTGAGTGTCTGTGTCTATGTGTCTGTGTCTGTGTGTATTTGTGAGTGTCTGTGTATATCTGTATGTCTATGTGTATCTGTGAGTGTCTGTGAATGTCTGTGTGTCTGTGTGTGTGTCTGTGTGTTTGTCTGTGTGTGTGTCTGTGTTTGTCTGTGTGTGTGTGAGTCTCTGTGTGTCTGTGAGTGCCTATGTATGTCTGTGTCTGTGTGTGTGTGTGTCTGTGTGTCTGTGTCTGTATGTCTGTGTGTGTTTGTGTGTCTGTGAGTGTCCGTGTATGTCTGTGTGTGAGTGTGTGTGTGTGTGTCTGTGAGCCTGTGTGTCTCTGTGTCTTTCTGTCTGGGGCTGGGGCTGTGTTGGTTGGGAGGAGAGGAGGAGAGCAGAGACAATCGCTTCCTCAAAGCCCAGGACGGACCACGGTGGTGGCCGGAGGCTGTGGTAGACCTCGGAACACTGGGGTGAAGTTCATGGAGGAGAGAAGTGAGCAGCCCAGGCAGGAGGGTCCCTGGAAGGAGCCCGGCAGGCGAGTAGGTGGAAGGGTCACTGTCCCAGCCGCAGCTTTTCAAACATCTGTTTGAGGAGACAGGCCACAGCCACACGCAGGGCCTTGCAGCAGGCTCCCAGTGACCCCAGGATTCTGGCCCTTCCAGCCCACGACCACAGTGTGGTTTCTGCTTTAGCCATGGAGCGCCTTGGGTCTGTCCATGGAAACCCCTGTTTTTCCTTAAAGTCACCTCGGTTTTGCCGGGGTATCCTGTAAGCCGCTCAGGCACACTCCCCCTTAAGTGAGGGCCTCGGCGCAGGCCTGAGAGTGGAGGGGCGGCACCATCCACACCTGTCCCTGCCTCGCCAGGGCCAACCGTCTGTGTCACTGGGTGAGAGGGGGTGAGTGGAAATGTGAGGAGGACGGGGGCTCCCCTCTGCCAGGAGCCCAGGTGTCCTCCCTCTCCCATTCCTCCTTCTCCTCCCCTCCTCCTCCCCTTCCCCCTCCTCCCCTCCCTCCTCCTCCCCTCCTCTTCCTCCTCCCCTCCTCTTCCTCCTCCCCTCCTCTTCCTCCTCTTCTCTTCCTCCTCCCCTCCTCTTCCTCCTCTTCTCTTCCTCCTCCCCTCCTTTTCCTCCTCCCCTCCTCTTCCTCCTCCCCTTGTTCCTCCCCCTCCTCCTCTTCCCCCTCCTGACGCCAGGACTGGCATCTGCTGCTAGGCTGTGTCAGAGCTCAGAGCAGTTGCCCTGCACACAAATGCATCACCTGACCCTTTATCCATTCTTCCAGTTTACCCCCTCTAGGGGAGGGGGAAGAGAGGAATGAATCTACGCAAGAACGTTGGCTAATCCACATGGCTTCCAGTTTCCTTCCTCCTCCTCCTCCTCCTCCTCCTCCCATCATCATCATCATCATCATCATCTTCTCCCTCCTCCTCCCATCTCCTCCTCTTCCTCCTCCTCCTCCTCTTCCCCTTCCTTCTCCTCCTCCCCTCTCCTCCTCTTTCTCCTCTTCCTCTTCTTTCTCATCCTCCCCCTCCTTCTACTCTTTGTCCTCCCCCATTTCCCCTCAGAGCCCCCCCCCCCCCAGCCCCGCCAAGCACAGGAGGAGTGGCTGGCGTTGGCTTGGCTGGTGTGGGGGGACCAGGACAAGTGGCGTTCTCACCTCTCTCTCTCTGTCAACAGCGACGGCGCGGGCAGAAGCGGCACCTACATCCTGATCGACATGGTTCTCAACAAGATGGCCAAAGGTGAGCTGCTTCGGGCTTGGAGAGGGTGCGTTGCTATGGCAACCTGGTGCTGCTCTCCCAGAGGCGTCCCTTTTCCAGGTTGCGTGAAGCTGCTTGCAGCGAGCTCTGCGCTCCAGCTCCTCCTTTGTGCCAGTCCGTGGGTGGACACTGGGGTGGCGCTCAGGGTGCTGGGAGCGTGTGCTGAGCAGCTGGGTGGCGTCAGGACCGGACAGGGCCGGTGCCCTAGAGCGGCAGCGCCTCAGAGCGGCCTTCGGCCCAAACCTCCCTGTTAGGAGCTGCATTTGCAGGAACATTCCGGAGTCACCTGAGACCTTCGGTGGCGAGCTCATCACACTGAACCCCTTATTGCCCGCAGAGCTCTGCACCGGCTTCCGCTCAGGAAGGATGTGCGGGTCTCTCCTCCTCCCTGGCCACCCCCCACTGCGGGCCGCTCCCCCCCGGGCCGCCCCCCCCGCCCCCCCCGGGCCACCTCCGCTCCCCGGGCCGCCACCCCCCTCCCCGGCCGCCCCCCCTGCCCCCCCCCGGGCCACCTCCGCCCCCCGGGCCGCCCCCCCCCCGCCCCGGCCGCCCCCCCGCCCCCCCCCGGGCCACCTCCGCTCCCCGGGCCGCCCCCCCCCCCGCCCCGGCCGCCCCCCCCGCCCCTCCCCGGGCCACCTCCGCTCCCCGGGCCGCCCCCCCCCTCCCCGGCCGCCCCCCCTGCCCCCCCCCGGGCCACCTCCGCTCCCCGGGCCGCCCCCCCCCCCCCCGGCCGCCCCCCCCCCGCCCCTCCCCGGGCCACCTCCGCTCCCCGGGCCGCCCCCCCCCTCCCCGGCCGCCCCCCCTGCCCCCCCCCGGGCCACCTCCGCTCCCCGGGCCGCCCCCCCCCGCCCCGGCCGCCCCCCCCCCGCCCCTCCCCGGGCCACCTCCGCTCCCCGGGCCGCCCCCCCCCTCCCCGGCCGCCCCCCCCCTCCCCGGCCGCCTCGCGCTGGCGTCTGCCTTCCTTCGCCAGTTACTTGGAGGAACAGTCCAGGGTGAGGAGATGCCGTGCTTGTGAGAGGATACACAGACCCGCTGGGCACGCGGGGGGAGTCGGGTCTTAGTGTTTGTGGGGAGCGCTGAGTCTGAGGGCGCAGGCCTGCCGCATGGAGCAGCCCGGTGGGACTGACCTTGTCTTCACTGCGCAGAAGCAATGCCAGATCCGCCAAGTGCGGGCGGCCCCAACGGCCGGCCGCACAGAACCGCCGAGAGGGCAGTGCCCAGCGCTGAGCGCCCTCCCCTCCTGCCTCGCCCTCTGCCTGGGCCTGTGTCCGGCAGCTGAGTCTCCGGAGATCAAAGGGCAGGGGCCCGGCCGCCGTTCCCAGGCCTCCCGGCGGCCTCTGGGTTTTGTTCTGCGCGGCCTTTGTCCTCGGAGACGCTGGAGGCCCAGACCCGTCCATCAGACGATCAAAGGCCCAGAGCGGACGCGGAGCCTTTCTCCCCCTCCTTTCTGAAAAGAAACGAGGCCCAGAGGCCTTGCAAAGCCTCCCTCTCCGCAGGCTGGTGGCGGGTCAGGCTCCGTCAGGGTGGAGAAGTGCGCTGGGGTGACCGTTCCTGCCGGCAGCAGAGCGGAGGAAACCGCTCAGCTCGCACAGGCGGTGGCTCCAGCCCGGAGCCCCGGCATTGTTTCTGGGCTGCGAGCGTGTTTCTGGCTTCATTCCTCTTGTCGTGGGATGCGTCTGTGGCGTTCCTCTCCCGAGACTCCCCACGGGCAGAGTGCCTCCCGGCCACGGGGCCCAGGCTCGCTACACTCTGTCATGGGGGGGGGGGGGGGGTGGCGCGTCTGCGTGCGTGTGTGTGTGTGTGCGTGTGCGTGCGTGTGCAGGAGTGGAGCTTCCCAAATACCATGCTTGTGAGTCCTTCAGGGGCACTGTCTTCCGTGCACCCAGCCCCCCTCCCCACTCTCAGGGCAGCTGTACCTTTGCTGGCGGGGCCCAGGGACTGAATGAGCCAGAGCTGCCTTGTAAGCCGGGGCTGCTGGGGGTGCCGCCCGTGGAGGTGAGCGGGCGTGGGCCCCGTGACTCCCGTCCAGCTCCCCTCCCCTCTGCCCCGCGCCTGCTGCTGGGAGATGGCCGGCCCCCGCCACGTTTGGTCCCGCGGGCCTGACGCCTCGCTGCCTCTGTGCCGGCGCAGTGTCACGTCCTCAGGCCCCCCGTGGCCTGTGTGTGCCCCTCCTCCCTAAGGCCCAGCCGTACCGCTGTGTGGAAGGGCCCGCGGCCCGGGCTCGGGCTCCTGGCAGACATCTCTGCAGGCGTCTGCTTCCTCCTGTGGCGACCCCAGAAGTGGCGTTCTGGTCACGTGACCCTGTGTGTGGCTGTGAGGGAGCTCCATTTCTCCTTCCCCCGCACCGTGCTCGGGGCCAGCTTCCCCCACGGGCACCGCTCCGTCCCGTCCCTCTCAGGGCGGGGCGCGGGCTCCTGTGCTCGGACCTGCACGTCCTGCGGACGGGGCGCTGAGCGCTTTCCGAGGCTCGTTGGCCATCTGGGTGTCTTCTGTGGAGAGTGCTCAGACCTTGTTCTTTGTTGTTGTTAATCCTCAGCCAAGGACATGTTTCCACTGGTTTTCAGAGAGAGTGACAGGAGGGAGGCAGGGAGGGAGGGACACAGTGATTGGTTGCCTCTGGTCTGTGCCCCAACCGGGACCAGGGATGGAGCGTCCAACCCAGTCCTGTGCCCTTGGCTGGGAAGGGAAGCCATGTCCCTGGGGATTGGGCCGGCACTCTGACCTCTTAGCACACTGGCCAGGGCCTTTGGTCATTGTTTTAATTGGGCTAATTTTTTAATACATGTTTATTCATTGCAGAGAGGAAGGGTGAGAAGAAAGAGATAGAAACATCAATGATGAGAGAGAATCATTGACCAGATGCCTCCTACACGCCCTCCCACTCCCACCCCGGGGACTGAGCCCACAACCCAGGCCTGTACCCTGACTGGGAATCAAACAGTGACTTCCTGGTCCATAGGCCGATGCTCAGCCACGACACACACACACACACACACACACACACACACACACACACACACACACGCCGCTGCTGTTGAGTTGCAGGAGTCCTTTGTCTGCCCCGAACACTTCTCCCGGTCGGACGCCAGGTGGCGCTCTCCCCTCCCTCGCTCCTTCGCCACAGGAGCACTGAGCACGAAGCCCGCTCTGCCTTTGCGGCCTGTGGTGTCCCGTCCGTCCGAGAAGCCGAGCCGTCCGCAGGCCTTCTCAGGTGTAACTTGCGGCTAATCCTAGGGGAGGTGTTTCCCTTTGACTTTAGAGAGGGCATGGAGCTGGGAGGGAGAAACCCATGGGAGAGACACACACCGGACTCGGCCTGGGGATCAAATCTGCCCCCCAGTGTGAAGACCGCGTCCTGCGTGGTTCAGGGTTTGGGCTCTGGAAGAGGGGCTGCATGCAGATGAAAGAGACGAGACAAGCAACAATCATTTGGAAATGGGGGGCAGGGGCGGGCAGGCGGGAGCCCAACGCCGGAAGAAGGACTCCGCTTGGGCTCCGGCCTGGCCATCCGTTTATTCAGTTGGGATGCTCCTGTAGCCCTCAGGCAGGCAGGCGGCAGCAACCAGCAGCTACTGAATCAGTAAGGATTTACATGACTGTCTGGTCGGGAAGTTGCTTCAGCTACCATTGTCTCAACTAAATGGTGCATAGCTCTGACCTCTGCCAGGGCTCAAGGGTCACCGGCATTCCGGCTCCTTGTCCACACCTCTCTGCTGGTGGAGACAGTGAGCAGCTTCCTGTGACCCGCGTCCGTGCCCTGGGCTGGACCCTTTGGGCCACTCTGGCCGTTAAGGCTGCGGGCAGGCTGGATGGTAACTTGTGTTTTGTTAATCCTCACCCGAGGCTGATTTTCTATTGATTTTAGAGAGTGGGAGGGAGAGGGAAAGACAGAAACACATCCACTAGCTGCCACCTGCACACACCCCAACCAATTCTGGGGCCGGGAGGAGCCTGCAGCGGAGGTATGCTGCCTTGATCAGGATGGTCGGCAGGCTGACGCGCTATCCACAGAGCCACATGGGCCAGGCATAGATGTTGACTTCAATAGCAAGACAAGGCCGCAGGTGGGCAGGGCTTGGGAGCCGCCTGGGCAGCAGAGAGGGTGGAGCCAGCGAGCCCACGGGCCCGCCCCCCACCCGGACTCCTCACCTCACGGGCCCTCGCGGGCCCTCAGGTCCTTGCTCAGTGGGGCCGCCCACGTGCCTCTCCCACGTCGCCCGGTCCTTCCAGGGTCCTGTTAGCTCGGAGCCCCTCGGGGCCCGGCCGGGAGATCTGCCTGGCCCGCGGCCCTCCTGGCCAGTGCTCCACAGGGAGGGCATCGCTGAAGGGTGTCGGGTTTGATTCCCAGGCAAGGCCAGGGACTTCTGTGACTCTCACATCGAAGTCCCTCTCTCTGTCTCTTGCACTCTCTCTAAAAATTAATAGAAAAAAACACTCTTGGGGTGGCCAGGACTCCCAGTGGGTGAGCATCAACCTATGAATGAGAAGGTCAGGGACTGACTCCCGGTTGGAGCACCCACCCGAATTGAACCTCAAAACCCCGGGACGGAGGGGAGAGGGGAAGAGGGGGGGTGCGCGCGTGCAGGAGGCAGCTAACCTGTGATTCTCTCCTCATTGATGTTTCTCTCTCTCTCCCCCTCCTCTCTGAAATCAATAAAAACACATTAAAATGTACATCCGTTCTTGGGTGAGGGACAGACTGCACACAGCTCTGGCCCCTTGCTCATGCCCGCTCTGACTGAGGCAACTTGTTCTCAGAGCAACGGGCCCGTGCATCATTGTTCCTGTGGTTACAGGCGTGGGGTGGCCGTGGGGTGGCCGGGGCGGGGGTGGCCATAGTGGGGGGATGGCTGTGGCTTGTGGGGTGGCCGTGGCTGCGGGGGAGTAGCGGGGGGTCTGCGGGAGAGGCGGACACAGATGCTCTCGGTGATGCCCGGGCGGCTTCTCTCTTGGCCGTTTCCCCCTTTGGGTGCAGCTCATCCCTCTGACCGGCCACGGCCAGGCCTCCCAGGCGTGTACCAGCCACGGGGCGAGTTCCTGCCGAGTCCGACGCCACTGTCCCGAGGGGCTCCCCCTCCTGAAGGCCCTGCCCTCCAACTGGATGGGACACACATGCCCCACCCACAGCCTTTGTCACCGAGCTTCCCCCCCCCACCCCCGGGAGGCCTGGGACACAGGTCTGACAGGCTGCCGGCGGTCCCGGAGGATCCTGGCCCCTGGCCTGCCCTCGGGGGGGGGTGACCCCCTGGCCCCTGGCCTGTTCTCCGGGGGGGTGACCCCCTGGGCCCTGGCCTGCCCTCCGGGGGGGTGACCCCCTGGGCCCTGCCCTGCCCTCCGGGGGGTGTCCCTCCTGGCCTGTCCTCCGGGGGTGTGTCCCCCCTGGCCTGCCCTCCGGGGGGTGTCCCTCCTGGCCTGTCCTCCGGGGGGTGTCCCTCCTGCCCTGCCCTCCGAGGGATGGGACACACATGCCCCACCCACAGCCTTTGTCACCGAGCTTCCCCCCCCACCCCCGGGAGGCCTGGGACACAGGTCTGACAGGCTGCCGGGGGTCCCGGAGGATCCTGGCCCCTGGCCTGCCCTGGGGGGGGTGACCTCCTGGGCCCTCGCGCCCCTCCCCACTCCACTTTCTCGCTGCGGCCGCTCAGACCAGGGCTGCGGGGCTCACTTCCCCCAGATAAGCCGTTGGACCTGGGGTCGGGGAGGACCGTGCGGGCCATGGGGACGGCGGAGCCCGGTCCGCTGAGCCCGTGTCTGAGGAGAGTGCTCCCCCTCGGGCCGCCCCCCACGCCCACGGCTGCCCTCCGCCTGTGCGGCCAGCCCTATGGCCGCCCCTGCCCCTCGGACCCGCCCTTAGGCCAGAGGGCGGCGGGAGACGGGGGCCTGGAGGGCGGGAGTAGAAATGCTGCCGTGGATGCGGGTCCAGGCCCTTCGGCAGCCACCGCGCCGATCCCCATCCCGCAGCCCCGGCGGTGCCGTGTGCCGGGTCCCAGCGGCCGGGCACAGACCGGGTCTGCGGGATGTGGCCCTGGGCGGGCCCTGCGGGAGGCTCCGGGCCTCCCTCCCCGCGGCCCGGCTGTCCATCCCTGCGTGAGCCTGCGTGTGCCCCCTGCGGCGGGGCGGTAAGTGCCGTGTCCGCGGCGACGGCCGAGGGAGCGGGCCTCAGCCGGGCCTCAGTTCCCGGAGGCCGCCTGCGGGCGCGGTCACCCAGGCCTGGCGGCCTGGCGGGGCACGCGGGCGCCTCCAGGACGCCCGCTGACGGGCGGCGCTTCTTGCAGGTGCCAAGGAGATGGACATGGCAGCCACCCTGGAGCACCTGCGGGACCAGAGGCCGGGCATGGTCCAGACCAAGGTACGGCTGGCGAGGCCCGGCGGGGGGGCGACACGCCTTTCCACACCGAGGCCAGAGCCAGCCCACACCCCTTCAGGTCCTGCCGTCCCAGGCCCGCTCCCACCACTGCAGCCCTGGCCCGGTCCCAGGCACCCCCAAACAGCTCGTGTGCACACTCACTGGGCAGGCAGCGGCACCCCCAAACAGCTCGTGTGCACACTCACTGAGCAGGCAGCGGCACCCCCAAACAGCTCGTGTGCACACTCACTGAGCAGGCAGCGGCACCCCCAAACAGCTCGTGTGCACACTCACTGAGCAGGCAGCGGCACCCCCAAACAGCTCGTGTGCACACTCACTGAGCAGGCAGCGGCACCCCCAAACAGCTCGTGTGCACACTCACTGAGCAGGCAGCGGCACCCCCAAACAGCTCGTGTGCACACTCACTGAGCAGGCAGCGGCACCCCCAAACAGCTCGTGTGCACACTCACTGAGCAGGCAGCGGCACCATTGGGTGCAGACAGGACAGGCTGCCTCGGGAACCAGGACTAGAATGAGGTGACTGCACTCCAGACACAGCCCTCCGACCACAGCCCCGCCCACCCCGCCCCGCCCACACGGCGCTCCTGGTGCCCACACGGGGGGCGGGGGGCTCGCCCGCGAGAAGCCGGCCACGAGGCTGCCTCCTCGGACCCAGTTGTAGAGCGGCTGCTGTGCCATCAGCTGCCAAGGTGTGGGCAGGCGGAGCCACCGCCTCCGGGCGGGCCGCAGTTCCCCACGAAGTGTCTGCGCTGGGAGGAGGGGAAACGGGGAGTCCCGCCAGGAAGCCACTGCAGACACTCCGCCCAGACAGGCAGAGCAGCCGCGTCTCCCGAGACCGGCAGGAAGTACTCCAGCTCAGCACACACTGACGTTTCTTAGACATTTTTATGTGAAGTTACAGTGTCACACCTGGGGAACGGTGCAGAGATCAAGCATCCAGGGCGCAGCTCAGGCCCCGAGGGCAGGGTCCAGGTTGGGTGGCAGTGGGCTGGCTCCTGAGGCTGGGTAACTGCCCCGATGGGCGCCGCCGCTGTGACTGTGCCCGTCACCCTCACGCCGTCCCCGTGGGCATCCGGGTTCCCCCCGGAGGACCTGCTGGACTCACCCCTCTCCTTCCGCAGGCGCAGTTCGAGTTTGCTCTGACAGCGGTGGCCGAGGAGGTGAACGCCATCCTCAAGGCCCTTCCCCAGTGAGGCCCGCCCGGCCGCGGCCTGCGGGCACCGCGGTGCCGTCTCCAGTGTAGCTGCTGTAGTAAGGTCCCAGCCCATAGTCACTAGAGCTTAGCCGCTAATCACGTGTATTTTTGTTCAATTAAATAATAATGAAGAGAGGTTGTGGGATCGTCCAGCTTGGGGGCTACCTGTCCATCTACCCTCGCCGTCATTTCCTTAAAGCTCATCCTCACTCCCAATCGCAAACACTATTGTGTTCCTGCTGCGTGTGTGCGGCCCTGGGTTAGGCTGTGGCCTGTGCCTCTGGGTCACCGGCAGCCCCAGGCACAGAGCGAAGGCTCCGCAGAGACCAGCTGGTCAGCGCGGGGCACGGACGGTGGCCTCCTGGAGCTTTGGGACCAGTATCAACGAGGTTGTCCCCGCACCTCCCTCCCGCTCTGGGGCTGCCCGCCAAGCTCGGTCCCCCCCACATCTCCCCTGCGGTGGGCGGCCCCGGGGCAGCACGCCCCGCCACCCAGGGAGCACAGGTCCTGAGCAATGTGGTGGTGCGCCCCGCCCGGACCCGCTCAGCGGCAGCAGCGGGTTTACACACTGCAGACACGAGCACTCTCTGTGGGAAAGCCTAAACCAGTTCCCGCGCCCGGCAGTGCTGTGGCCCCTCACACAGCGCCCCCCACGCTGGAGAAGGGACTGCAGGCACCACGTCTCTGCGTGACGGCTCAGAGCCCGGCAGGGGGCGCTCCGCAGGCCCGCCGTCTGCCGTCACAGACACGGGTGTCCGCCTGGCCACCCGTGCGGGGAGAGGAGTCGCTGCGTTCACTCAGAACAGCAGGGCCGGGCTGGGCTGGGTGCCAGGCTGCGGCCGTCCCCCGCACGCCCGGCTCCAGCCCAGGCAGGTGCCACGGCGAGAGGAGGCACCACGCGCTGACACGGTGGCCCCACCCCCACACTGACATCCCCACACTGACACCCCCATCCCCACACTGACACCCCCATCCCCACACTGACACACTGACATCCCCATCCCCACACTGACACCCCCATCCCCACACTGACACCCCCATCCCCACACTGACACACTGACACCCCCATCCCCACACTGACACCCCCATCCCCACACTGACACCCCCATCCCCACACTGACACCCCCATCCAAACACTGACACCCCCAGGGGGAGAGGGCGGGGGGAAGCGGCGGGAGAGGGTGTGGGGGAGGGCTTGGGGAGGGGCGGGGGAGGGCGTGGGAGGAGGGCGTGGGGGAGGGCGGGGGGAGGGGGAGGGGGGAGGGCGGGGGGAGGGGGAGGGGGGAGGGGGAGAGGCCTAGGGGGCTGCTGGCAGGCTGGCACTGCAGCAGGAGCCCCATGGGACCGGTAGCCACGGCAGGGGGCAGAGCCCTCAGCAGCCTGGTCTCTGGGCATCTGGGCAGGCGGGGGGAGTGGGCCTGTGAGAATGGGCTAAGGATGAAGGCTGCTGTTCATAAGCCTGAGCGGAGCGTCTGCCCTCTGTCCCTCCCCACCCCGAGGAGGCTGGCCTTGAGCCGGCCTGCCCCCTTCCCCACCACCACCACCGCACTTCGTCCCTGGCCTCACCTGCTGAGTGGAAGCCCGGCTGGGCAGGGCCTGGCCAGGGCTGCCCCTGCCGCACCCGCACCCCGCACCCCACACGCCAGCGGCCGGCGGGAGCCGCTGTGACGGGCGCCGGCCCAGCTCTAGGACAGCAGACCTGGTCCCGGAGGCACAGGGTTCCCAGGGCTCCTTAGATTCTGCCTTCCTCCGGAGCAGGCGTCCGGCAGGGAGAGTTCCTGTGGGGACAGACACCTTCCCGGCCAGGACCTACGTGTGAGCTTAAAACAGCCCCAGAGCCGCTGGCCGGCTTCTCTCCTCTCCTGCCCTCCAATATCAGCAAAAGCCTGTTTTTACAGCACTAAGCTGGGGCTCAAAGAGCACACACAGCAGAGAGACCAAGCCCAGCGGGGGGGCCCCGGTGCTGGTCCAGGAGCAGGTGGGAGGCGCAGGCGTGGGCGCCCTGCTGTGCCCAGCCCTCCACCGGCACCTGTGGCTCCTGAGTCCCCCGTCCCCTCTCCTCACAGACGCCAGTGTGAGCAGAGAGCCCTCCCCCAGGGGCCGAGGGGCCTTGTTTTCCCCGTCCCACTTGGCCTTGGGCTTCCCTGGAAGCGGCCTCTCCCGCTGCAGCTGCGGCTGCGGCTATGGCTGCTGGCCAGGGAGGGAGGCGTGCCTGAGGGAGGCGATGGGCTCAACTGAGCCACCTGGACGCCCACCTGACTCACCTCACGCCACCCCCCACCCCGCTCCTGTCCTGACCTCGTCCTGCCTTTGGCTTTGTTTTCGTTGGTTTCTTGTGTTCGACCTTGGAGCTGCTTGTGTTTTTGGTGATGGTTCTGCGATGCAGTGACAGGACCGCTCCCCTCCACCCCGGAGGCTGCCTGCGGTGCTTTAGGAATTAAGGTGGAGAGAGACTGGGACACCCGGGGTTGGAGGCACTGGCTTTCCAGGAGCAGAAATAATGCAGGTGGACCCCACCCCAGGACGGACAGCAAACCCTCAAGGCTCCAGCTCCCTGTAGGAGGCTCTCCATAGAGCCCACACCCTTACCCTGCACTTGCTGAGTCTGCTGGCCTCACCTGCCCCTTCCTGCGGCACCTTCATCCTCCTGTGGGGCAGGTTCCGCTCAGCCCAGACAGGCCAGCCTCCGACCTGAGGCCCCGCTCCCTCCCACCGAGTCCCAGGGCTGGAACCGCCTCGCAGGGACCTGCCTGCGGGCCGCGGAGGGAGGGAAGTGGCTGGAGAGGCAACACGAGGGCTTACGGCGAAGGGGGAAACGCAGTCGACTCGCCTGGGTGCCAGGGACGCGGGCCCAGCAGCCAGTGTGAGTGGCCAGGCTGCCGTTCCTGCCGCTGGCACAGCCTGCAGCCTGGCTTAAGAGACTGACGTTTGGCGGGCTTCGTCCCCAGACAGCAGGGGACGCTTCTGGCATTTAGCTCGTCGATTTCCTCATTGTCTCCACGGGTCGACCGACCTGACCCCAAACCTCATGCTGTCACTCATCGTAAGTAAATTTATCAACATGTATGTAATGGAACACTCAGGGGAGTACTAACTGTTTGCATGTGAAATTACTTCATTCTTCATGCTTCAAGCAATTCAGTTCTGCATAATAAAGTATGATGGGGCAGCTGACAAGCCCGTCTGGCTGCGGTCTGTCTGAGGCTGAGGCTGCGGTCTGTCCTAGGCTGTGGTCTAACCGCTGGCCCTTGGGTCCCGTCCCTCTGTCCCCAAAATCCTGGTCCATTCAACATCTCCTTGACCCTAAAAAAACGCGCCAGTGCCCGGGAGATGGGCACTGTCGTCTCCCCGGGGGCTAGCTGCATCAATCCGCCCTGAAGGGCCCTACAGGCCGCTGCCTGAACCCCGTCACAACCTCCTCCTCCATTCGTGGCCTCCTCAGCCCTGCTGGGCGGGGAGCTGGCCGCCCGCTCCAGGTGGTTCCCAACGCGCCTTCCGGCATCAGCTGCGCTGTGCGGTCACACTGGGGACCCACCCGCTCAGCCGCCTGCCAACGTGGACACCACGGCCCACAGACCTGCCCACTGGCCTGGGGCATGCATGCTCTGTAGACACGAGCTGTGACGGCCCGGACCCACAGCCCTGAAACACTGTGCTCGTTGCGATGCCCCGGAGCCGGAATTGTCACCAGATAGGTCCGTGTGCTGGGTGACGTTTCCTGGGCTTTGGAGGGGTTTCTGGTCTCACTGTCCTCATAAGAAGAAACTGTTTGGCAGAAAACATGCTTTGAAAAACATCATTTTCAATCTGGCTGGTGTGGCTCTGTGGTTGAACGTCAGTCTATCAACAAGGTGGACAAGAGCACATGCTGGGTTGTAGGCTCAGTCCCCAGTGGGGGGCGTGCAGGAGGCAGCGGATCGATGATCTTACCTTTCTCTTCCTCTCCCTCCCTCTGTGACATCAATAAAAGTCTTTTAAAAAGTACATCCTTCTCCTACAAGCTGTATCTGTACCGGATGGCCCAAAATAGAGCCCTCCACCTCCCTCACACGCTCCACGTCCTGTCACCAGCGTCCTGAGCGTGCTGCGGAGCCCGGGCTTCTGTGTGGTCCTGGCCATCGCGCATGCAGAGGCTGCGTGCTTGGTTCTAGGCGGTGTCTGCTCTGCTGCTCAGGGGGCGTGGCCGATGGCTCGGGGGCGTGGCTGTGGGCTCAGGGGCGTGGCTGATGGCTCGGGGGTGTGGCTGATGGCTCGGACGTGACTCGGGGCGTGGCTTATGACTCAGGGGCGTGGCTGGGCGCTTGAGGTGTGGCCGATGGCTCGGAGGCGTGGCTGAGAACTCAGAAGGAGAAGGTCTCTGCACCTTTGCCTCAGTTATCAGGACTTTCCTGCTTCTGCCTCCATTTCCACATCACCTGACGGTAGACACAGGTGGCATCGAGTCCTCTGGGCTTTTTATTTTTCTATATTTTAAATTCCAAGATGATCGACCTGGCCCTGAGCAGAATAGGTAACTCGTGGCCCTGGCCGTATGGCTGTGTTTAGAGCCAGTCAGGTGCATGCGGGAAGCAGCCAATCACTGTTCCCCTCTCTCTGCCTCCACCCCCTTCCACTCTCTAAAAATCATCGGAAAAATACCCCCAGTGCACCTGGCCCGCCAGGCAAGGCGGGCATTCCTCCCAACCAGGCAATTCCCAAGCGGCACAGAGGTGTGAACCCTGGGTGCTGGGTTCCCTGGCCGCCTCGCCTCCTAGCCATCACCCTCCGCTGACCTGACAACCTATTAACAAGACTAACCATGACGGATGGACTGCTCCGGCGCCGCCCTCCACAAATTTGGGGGGCAGAGTCCCCCCAGACTGGCCTAGACCCTGGGGGGATGTAGTGGCTCCTGTGGCCTCAGCCTGTCCCCACCCGCTGCCAAGTACAATGACCCCTTCTGCCCCTGTCCCCAGCGTGTGGGCGGCCATGGGGGGGGGGGGGGGACGGGGTGCCCCTGTCTGCAGGCAGGGCGGCCTGCCCCTCCTGCTGGTGCTGGTGCTTGTGAAAAGTGTTCAGTTACGGAAGCCCCTGGGGCCCTCTTATTTACACTGACGTTCCCTGTTTAAAACCCGTACATATCCCCGGCTGAGCATGAGCAACAAAGAATCCCAGGGTTCGGAAGGCAGAGCATCCATGTAACTCCCTCAACAAGGAGGAAGGCGCCGGC